CATGTGCCCGGGCGTCTGAACGACTGGGTGTACGTGCCGTCCGGCACGGACAACTCTGCCACCGAAGCAGGCATCAGCAAGCTTTTCAGCGCTTCTTGGCCTTTGCAATTGTTGCTACAACTAGTGGCAACCTGGGCTCACGCACACAACGTGCACTTGCAGCCCACACACGTGCCTGGACGTCTGAACGACTGGGCGGACGACCTCAGCCGAGGACGCCTTCACCGTTTCATAAACCGCTCACTCTGTGCCCCGCGCATTCGCCCTGTCAGGCGCAACCCCGCTCTGCAGGGGGGGTTTGGTCGGCTACTCAGCTGGCTCAGCTCTTTCCGGGGTTGCTTGGAAACACTGAAGAGGGGGACAATTCTTCCTCCTGCTCCAGGTGCACCGCGTGCCCTCGAGGCAGTGCTGCTTTCAAGCAACCCGTGAGAAAGAAGTGCGCCTTTGGATTTGCGGGGTTCTTTGTTGTTTGGGTTCAAGCTAGGAGCAGTGCAACAGGCCTTAACGGACACGCGGTGTCACTCCTCCCGCACCCCTCAGCCTGAACTTCTGAGCAACGCCTATAGAAAAGGGAGCGGAGCGTTTTTTGGGTTGGTCGGGCTCCCCTTTTCATGGCTGTTCCCTCTTGGCTTGAAGCAGTGAACAGGATTCTGACTGAACAGGATTCTAACTTACTTGACTTTAGTGGCTGTTTGGTTGAAACCTGGGTTTCCCAGTTAGCCTTGACTTCCGATTCTTTAGTTTGTTTTTGCTGTGCTGAGGATGGATTATGTTGTGTGTTTTGTTTTGCTGTTGTGTCTCGTTGCTTTTAGTTTGCGGTTTCTTCTTGATATCCTTGGCATGTTTTATACGAGATATTTCTGTAGCCGCGGCCCCGCGTGATCGCATCGGCCGCATGGAGCGAAAATAATGGTTGGTTTCTCGCATGCAATCGTCTTCGACTGCCCTTTGTGGGCGCTTCCAGCCTCCAAACGTCATGTTATGGAAAGACACGGTTTTTCCGTGTTGGCTGATAGAGGAAACGGGAACTGGCGACAACCAGTACCCGGTTACCTTGGAAGCATGAGTCTTGCCTTTCACGAGATATTTATTTGGAGGAGATGGAAGAAATGCCAAGATGCCCGTGGTGGTCTGCTGCATTCCCGCTGTTGGGCGAAGAACCTCGCTGGTGCCAACCAAAACTTCGCTCCGTGCACGTCCAACTCGAAAAGCACGGGTTGGGAGAGGGCTAGTTTGTTATCGCACGGCGAATGACCGGCGCGACGGAAGCAAGGCCAATTGCCACACGTGTTCTGCATGTCACAGGAGCGCCCGACCAAAGGCCTTTCCCACTTGTCGGAAGTTTTTTGTCCAAGGTCAGGAGGAACGCTGGACTTGCAGTTGTTCGTGCGCACCAACAGAAGCTGGCGCCGTGCGCGCGGCCTCGCAGCCTTCGCGGCCCTCAAGAGCAGAAAAACGTGGGAGGGCGTCAAACACAAGTGCTGTTGCCTCTTACCCTGATCATGGGAGGCAGTACAAACTGCCGCCTTGCCATGTCCAGAAGGCGTGGCATCATCATCATCCATCATCATCATCATCATCACCCATCATCATCTTCATGGTGACAATCATCATCATCCGTCATTGTCATCGTCGCTGTGGGATCACAGCATTGTCATCATGATTGTGGTAGAAGTCATCAATGCACGGACTCATCATCATCATCGTCGTCGTCGTCGTCGTCGTCGTCGTCGTCGTCCGTTATCATTGTCCGTCATCAGGATCGTCATCATCTTGATTGTCATCATCTTGATTCATCATGATGATGATTATGGGTGATGATGATGGTGGTAGATGATATTGGCTGATGATGATGATGATGATGATGATGATGATGATGATGACGGTGACAGTGGAAGATGGTGATGATGGATGATGAAGATGACGAAGGAGGTGATGACCGTGATGGATGATGACGATGACGACTGATGATGGATGATGATGATGATGATGATGATGATGCAGATGATGATGATGATGATGACGATGACGATGACGATGACGATGACGATGACGATGACGATGACGATGACGATGACGATGATGATGATGATGATGATGATGATGATGATGATGATGATGATGATGATGATGATGATGATGATGATGCCACAATCCCCCACAAGTCAATCTGCCCCCCCCCCACACAAGCCAATCTGATGCTTTCACAAGTTTATCTTCATCCAGAAGGACGGTTCGTCATGATCGTGGGCCAGGGACAAGAAAAATTCAAGTGCAAAGTGGTTTTTGTGATTTTTGGTGCTTGTATTGTAAGATACAAACTGGTTGGCTTGAGGCTGAAAACACTTTTGCGCTCCAGGCGCTGTACTACTCTCAGTTCTAGGTACCACTTTGCAAGGAGGCTTGGACGCAAGGTTTCGTGGTGACACGTCAGGCGCAGATCAGTGCCTGATAGGCCCATAAATGGACAAGGAAGGCCTGCTTGGAGTTTGGTTTTGAAGGGGAGGCCCACGCAAGGCTGTTCTGGCAGACTTACACCTGCCAGACAAGCTTTTAGGAAGCTTGCAAGCTTGCTGAACCGGCTTCAAACCAAGTACTGTGGTGTGATCAGACCTGCTAGGGTGTGGGAAAAGAAGCACTTGCTTTTTTTTTTCTTCCTTCTCCTTATGCGCTGACTCTTAGGCTTTCGTGCGTCACCGACTTCCGTGGGTTCAAATGGAAGATTCGTTGTCTCATTTTTGCTCTTGTCGAAGCGTTTGCTTGACTTGGTCATGATGCTGAGTTGTTTCAAGCCTGCGCTAAAACAGCGGACCGGCGCGATCGCAACGGCCGCTGGGTTCAAACAAAAAGTTGATTCCAAGCTCCGAGTGGGTGGTTACAGCGCCTTCCACCCTGCTGGAAAACAGCAACTTTTCCAGTGGAACTGGAGACAAACTCTCGGGCCAAGGCCCTGCACGTTTAGGCCAAAGAAAAGCGGTCTACTGGGAAGAGCTTCCAACAGGCAAGCACGTAATATTTTTGCAACAGGTTAAAGAGTTTTACAGGAGCCAAACGTGCAGTTTAACTGGTGAACGAGGTCCCCCAGAGAAGCAAGCTGCCTCTCCGCTAAATTGCGGTTGTGCCACGGTGTTCCCTGCTGCTCTGCGTGTGCTGTTTGCGGATTGGATCTTGGCTCCTCTCAATCCACGTAACATGTTGGCAGAAGGTTTTCTGCGTGTTTTTTTTGCTAACTTGGCATGGCCGCCATTGACGACTCTGACGCTCTCAGAAAGCTTGCGGCATTGCAAGAAGGTCTTCCTGCCTTCTTGCCGCAAAGGCGTGCTACTGGAATTTTCAGCACAGCTCCGAGTCAGTTCTCTCTCACTTGGTGAATTGTGAAAAATGGACACAAGGTGCTGATGTAACTGCGACCTAAGTGCAAAAGGCGCAAAAACCACAGGAAGTGAACATGTAGAAGCGAAAAGGCGAGGGTAACTGCTATCTCTTTCTTGTTTTTTGAGTTTTCGGCGACGTCGCCATTTCTCTGCTTCAGCTCCAAGTGACACGTCTCTGTCTTTTTTTTTAACCCATCGACCAGCCCACACCAAGGTCATACTCTCCGTCACCGAGCTGTCTGAATTTCAGCCTGCACCCCGTGTACTGCACCAGCTGAACGTGCATGTTGGCTAGGGGGCACCGACACAAGTACATGTGTCGGCCTTTCTGCATCCAGAATCTGCACCTCTGACCAAGCCACCCACAAGGCTTGTGATGTTGTTTTTTCTACGGCCACTTCCGATCACGTGGGTGCGTTGTTTCGGCAGAAACGGGGGGTAGACAATCAACTGCAGGCTTTGAGTGCACCACAGGACGGACTTCATTTGAGCCTGTCCGCTCAGTGCGTGGAATGGAGCTGCCCAACCAGCAGCTTCGTAGACCATCGCTTCGCCAACTGAACCACACCGGCACCCACAAGGCTTAGGAAGTTGCTGCCGCTCCGTCCTCCTTCGCTTCGGCTGTCAGTTCTAAAGCTGTTTTTCTCGCTTTTTTGTTTAGAGGTTCCCACGGCACCCAATGGCCTTCAGTGCACAGTTTGAGTCAGCGTCGCAACACTGCATGGTGACCAACAACCAGCCGAGCGATGCTCACATCAGAAAACAAAACTGAAATTCTTGCGCGATCCATATTTATTGAATCGTTTTTTGCAAGCCATTTAAACAAATGCCCAAATAAATGGGCGGAACACGTGCCTCTGGGATTTCGTCCGAAGAGACCAACCAAAATAGAAAACGGCACGCGAACGTTTTTGTTCTTGGGCCTCAGCGGGTTCAGCTGTGCAAGCTCAAGGCACGACTGGGCATACGCGTAGCTCCGCATTTTGCACCAATGCGTCCTCTGCCTCTGCTTCTAACGCGGGCATCGCTTCTTTGCATTGGAAGGACCCATTCCGACTCAGTTGTCCAAGCAATCCGGGCCAGGATGGTTCTTAAGGGGATGTATCTTAGTCTTGTCACCATGTCAATTTTCTGGCCAGAGCAGTTTCTCAGTCGAGCGGACGGTAGCGTGTTGCAATTGGAGCCTGAATGTAAGCGAATGCCATTATGTACAACATGCTTCATGCATGCAGATGTGACTGAATTCACATGAAATTTGCACATGCAGCTTGTTTTTATGCATGTTTTGCTCGGCTTCTCTGTTTGGCATCGAGTCTGCCGCCATCATCGTTAAGTTATTGTCAGTATTGTTTTATGACGTGTTTTCTTTATTTTTCTGGGCAGTCATCTGGTGGCTGAACAAACATCACTCTCTGGTGTTTGATTTGTCAACGTGTGTCTCTATTCAAGACCATTGTGATGCTGCTAGGGAAACAATACTAAGAAGCCTTGTCAAAGGCAACAACGCATTACTTCCAGCATTGGCTTGCTAGCTTCGGCATGTTTTGGTCATTTTGAACAAACCTGACACTTGGGACAAACCACGTGCATGCTTTTGCCCGACTGTTGATTTCATGCCGTTTTTGCTCTCAGCATTTGCTGGGTTTTGCCCTGTGCAGCTTCCTCCTCATGCATCCACCACAGAGCGATGACGTGGAGAGACGCAGCCTCAAATGATGCGGCCCACTTTGCATTAGTTGCTGTGCAGCGTCAGGCTCTCCGCTCGGCTGTCGTCAGCAGGTGCACATGCTTTACTTGGCAACCAGAATTGCAGGAACAGATGTTTGCCAGATTTGGTTGTCAATCGGCTTTTTATGAAAGTGTGGCAGTTTTCAAGTTTCCCTTGTGGATTTGCAGGAATGGGCGCCCAAGAAAAACTGCATCGGCTCACAAAGATACTCGTCATATTGTCTTTGTTTGGTCCCATCTTTGTACCACGGGCGTTTTTCAGAATCTGAAAGTAACGTTGGGTTTCAATTCCCTTGCTTCCATGAACGCCGAAGCAAAGGGAGGACGCCTTTGCCAGGCTCATCCTTTGCAGGCCCTCAGCTCTCGGCTCCGATTTGCCAGCGAAGCCCCCTCTTGGGCACCTTGGCAAAATTGGTTCTTCCATCCTTGAGCTATGTGTGTGGAAGTATTACTCAGGTTTGGCAATCACTTGCAAGCCATTGTTTTCGCAGGGAGTAAGTCTTTGGGTGCAACGTGCAGATGTGATATGTTGGTGCATGTGGACAATGCATCCAGTGGGTCGGCAGCATTTCGATGGTCTCATGTCCACAGAGCCCTGTTACTTTTGGTATTTGTCGCGGCAACTATATCCATGTTTGGTGTGTACTTCCTTCCAAAGTGCAAAGTGGACGCGACACATTGCTGCAACACACACGTTTTTTTTTCGCGAATCGACCGCTGAATAAGATGACATCAACATCCAAAGTGAGCTTCGACTATTGGGTTTTCGGGCGCATTTTTTGCTCAGACTTCAACATGTGCTTGACACAGACGTAACCAAATTCCCAGGACTCCCTCCAAAATTGTCATCTAGCGGCTGGCCGTGGTTCTGTGCCTATGCTGAAACATTCAGGTCGGTTACCTGCCACAAGAGCTTCAAGACAAGGACCTGGACTAAGCATGGAGCATCTCAGCAACACATTTTGTTGGAAATGCTCTGAGATCTCCACGTCCGCAGCAGCCCGGCAACTGGGTCAATTGCACGGGTTCGGCCGGGACCCGTGTTGCGACCGGGATTGAACGAATGCCTGTGGTAACGCTGAAGGCATCGCTTTTGAGACTGTCATGAAGGAGAAGGCAGGGCCGTTGAGCAAAGTGGAGCAGACAGTTCGGGGCTGCGATTGCCAAAGCATATCAGGGCTCCGGCCAGCTTCGGGCACTTCATTCCGGAGCATGGTGGTTGCAGACCAAGAGTGAAGGTGCTTTCCAGTGCGCCGTTTCTAAGAGCACCTGGAACTTCAAACTCATTTTTGCCCAAGTTCCAATGATCTTGTGATGCGTAGGGCTTCGGATGGTCTCACTGAATTCGCAGATGTTCCATCTCTCAGGTCTCAGCGGGTGTGGAGCCTCTCGCGAGACAGCAAAGGCTGTCGCGAGGCCAGGTGTACTTTTTGCCTTGTCATCAGAACTCCATATGTGTGTGTGTGTGTGTGTGTGTGCGTGTGTACGCGCGCCTGAAATCGAACAAGTGTGATAGTGGCAAGCAGTTGGGCAGCATCCTGAATCTTGAAGTCTGGACCACTCGCAGACAGTTTCTAGGTGCAGCAGGTGCTCGAAGAAGCACAGGAACAGGATGAGCAGCTTGCTCGGATCACTGCACATGAAGCACACTGACGAACGCGAGCTCACACTGAGGCGCCTTGCCGTCGCGCTGGAGCTACGAGGTGCATCTCTCACAATTCTAAGTGAACATTTGCCTTCTTTTTACTCTTTCTGGTCAGACGGAGATGGAGCTGACAAAGGAGGTGTGGCCTTTTGCCCAGGTCATGTCTGGGAAGCACTACGAGACCCCTTTGCCAACTATGTGCTTCAGAAGTGCATCACCGTGCCCCCGTAAGATGGGCACAGGAGGACTTGTTCCTCCTGACCAGAAGGTACTGTGCAGGGACGACTTGACCTTTGTATTTCAAGAGCTTCAGCAGAAAGGCGCGACGCAGAGAGAGGTTGAGACTTCACTTCACACCTCAACGTGCACATTGACTCGGCCTGTCCTTGCCGTTTCCCCTCTTTCTGAAGCCCCGGAGGTCCAGAGATGATTCAACAAGCTGCGCGGCATAAGTGCGCTCGCGGAGCTTTGCTTTGGGGGGGGGGCTGGACACGCGCCAAGTACATTGAATACATTGAAGTGCCTGGACAGCCACAACAGGCTTCCAGCCAGAGGGTTCAAAGCCAACTTGCTGCCATTTGCCCCAATGTTTACCCCGCCAGTCCTTGACTTTCCACGTTGCTCCTCTTGCTTCAGGTACGGCTGCCGCATCATCCAGCGGCTACTGGAATGTGGACCTGCAGACCAGGAGGGTAGGGTGTTTCCACCAAGATGGGTGTGGGTCAATATTAAACCACCAGGAAATGGACCGCGGGGTTTGGTCCATGCTTCCATTTGCCAGGGCAACCCATTTTGGGATTACCCTATTGACCCACAGCCAGATGGGCACCGCAGTTTTGCGATCGCTTCAGAGGGAGGATGCTTTGCCAGGTCAATGACCTCATTGACTGCTTGCTTCACGACGCCATCAACATTTGTGCACACCCCTATGGCAACTATGCCGCCCGCAGCAGTTTGGCAGTTTGTCCCAGTGTGCTGCCAGCCTTGTCCACGACTGTTAGAGCAGGAGCAAGTGCGTTTGGGACCGCGCAGGGGGATAAGGTGTCACAAGTGCCACGCATGTCACAGCTGTTGACTAGGGCTGAGCCGAGGTTATGCAGAATTTACTAGATCAAAGCAGGGCTCTTGGTCTTCTTCGCGGCCGCGGGTCGCTTGGAGAGAGGCACACTTGCAGTTACCTGACCTGAGGCACACGGGAGCAGCGCCGTCGACTGCTTCACTCCTTAATGGATAACGTGACTTTGGTAGGTGCTTGTCACAGGGGTGCTGGTGCTTCCGGTGGTTGGGATGTGTTTGGAGGTAATGAGAACGAGAACGTCTACGTCTCGGCAGTGATGGTAAAGATCATGTCAGTGGCCCAACGTGAAGAGAAGGCCGGAGGCAACTGAAAATACATGCGTGAGGTCAGGCAAGGTTAAGTTGCAGCATACTGCATGGACGAGTCAGCTTGTCCCAGTGGGAATGATGAAATCCCCTAAGTTCTGTTTGGTGAGGGAAGAAGCAGTCGGCCAACATTATGGTGTGTTTCACCAGCTCGCAGCAACATTTGGTCTCATATTTTATACAACTCCACATCATGTAGAAAGCCTCATGTTTGTTCACAGGCATTGTATGCTCCTTGCCAACAATCCATTCTACCCGCAGGTGCAACTGGCACGAGCACTGCTGAGAGTGCCCTTTGGCAGTGAAACGCCGTGCTTTCCCTTACTGCCCATAAGACCCCACTTCTAGTTTTTTTTTTTACACAACCTGAACCGCATGACACATCCCTGATTCGCTGCGCATGTGCCGTAGCTCTCTGTTTGCAAAAACCTTGCCATGTCTGTTTGCTTGCTGGTCAAAGGCCTGGTCTCTTGCGGAAGATGGGAAGCACCAGGCCATACCTCGAGAGTTTTGGTTCATGCTTGAGAAACTGTCAGGTTACGCTGAAGACCGCGTGAAGACATGTCACATGTGGAAGAATAACGAGTGAGCTCTAGCATTTCAGCACTGAACCGCCCAGAATGAGGCCAGTGCTTTTGAATAGGGAAAACACTGGCACTGGCACTGCCACTGTACGTCAAAATCACTGTGGCACTGCACGGATTCGCCAGGCATGGTCACCAGGCCGCGAAGAAGGTGCTGAAGACTCTGACGGGCTCAGAGCACGAGGCGATGGCCAGACTTGCGTTCGATCGGAGGTGCAGCCAAGCACATTGTGACGTCATGTATTGCTGAACCAACCCAAGACCACACACAAATTAGCTTTGGGATCTACTCATTGAATTCGACTTTCACATTTGGGAGCGGAATGTCGCGTTGATGGACACTTCAGCCTTGTTAAGGGTCGAGAAGATTAAATGACAGCAGCTCTAACACACACAAATCAGTGTTGGGATTTGCTCATTGAATTCAACTTTCACATTTGGGAGCGGAATGTTGCGTTGATGGACACTTCTCAGCCTTGTTAAGGGTCGAGCAGATTCTGCGATTGGATGGTCTCGGCACAGGAAGCGAGGTTTCAACTTTATGGCGGCGGTGAAGCTACCGTCGAGCATGGCACTCAGATGAGTTGGCTTGGAAGGAAAAGGAGGGCAGAACATGCATTTTTGGTGACCCCCCATACCACTGCACCGCTCGTTCTTGCAGTTTGGAGGTGCAACGGAGCGTTTGCACTTTTTGTTGTTATGCAAGCATCTTGGTTGGGCCCAATCATTTGCATATTGCATCCTCCACAAGGCAATATGATTCTAATCGAACAGGTTTTCTTGTGTAAGTTGTTCTCCTGACTGGATGGCTCATCAATGACTTGCCTAGCATGCAATGTGGAATCGGAACTCTTTCTTTTTGCCGTGGGCCACGGAGGGCTATGAAAGGCTGCCTCATTCTTGGCTCGTACGATTTTCCAAGTATTGTGTTGTGGATGCAGCTGGATAGCATGTCTGGATTTGGAAAAAAAACACATCGAATCATACCTTTCGTTAAGTTTGACTCTTTTTGTTTTCCTAGCATCCTAGAGACATACATTTCCCATTCCCTAACAGATCCTTCAAATGAGGCCCTGATCATGTCGCACAGGTCTCGCCGAAAAGCTGCGCGCTGGGCTCCGAGCGGGGTGTAAGCGATAGATCTCTGGACATGCTCTCGTGGAGCTTTTGGAGGGATCTTTGCCAAGTCAGTTGCTCCGGCCAGAGTTTCTAAAGAGTGATCATCGACAGCGAGATTGAATATATGTGTTTTCAGTTTTCATTTGAGCAACTGCTGATGGTTCAGGCGCGCGCCGGTCAGAGACTCAAGCCTGAATCAATTTGCACAAGGCGGGGCTCGAGTGGAAACCTCTGCTTGCCGCCTTGCCTCGAGGAGTTTTCATTTTCGCATTTTCGCACAGCTGGTATCCCACGAAGTGGATATTTTAGAAATTAAGTCCGGGCCTCAGCACGTTTGGATGCAAGGGTGCCATGTTCTTGCGGTGTTGCATTTTCTCTTTGCTTTGCGACTCCCATTGTTGTTGCGACTGTCCGAAGCTGTTGCAATGAATGCGCTGATGCAGATTTGTTGAGGCTGCGGCAATGCGTTCTGATCCGGACACGAAGATCGGACAGTTCGCTCGCCGGCACCCAGAAGAGCGCCATGCCGCACAGCCGGTACTGGTCAGCTTTTCCGGTATGGTGCCGGTTTTTGCCCAAGGCAAAAACGCCTCGGGCGCCCCAATTTTGACTGCAACTTTTGTTACTGCGTCCATTGGAGTCTTCCAAGTTTCAACGGACTGTCAAGCCTTTGAAACCACTCTTGTGGCGCAGCCGGCACTGGTCGCCCGGGTTAAAAGGCTCGGGTACAAAGGACTCGGTGCGGTTGGCTATTGCAGCCGGGTGGCTTCACGAAGCCACCCGGAGAGCAAAGCTGCTAGGCTAATTTCTGGGAAGCACCATTGTACTTAGGACATTGTGTGAAGACTTGAGATGCAGAACTTCTGTATTTCTGGTTGGCCTTGTTTTTGATTCTGCTTTTGGTTCAACGGCAGCCCAAGAGGACTTCCAATGGATGCTCGCTTTGCCGCACAGCAGAAGCACAGCTACCGCAGTTGCTTTTGCCTGCAAAAGATGCTGGGGCGCCCCCCCGGCGGGCCATGGCGTTCTTCTTTGTGGGTGCAGCTTCCATGCGCTTGGTTTGCCCTTCAGGACGCCACGGCCATCTGAAAGATGGAGCATATCCACCACATCCCAGCGTCTCAAATGCATCTGGGAAGCAAGCACAGCCTCGTGCTGCCCCTTGACCGAAAAGGTTGGACCACCTCCCAAGACTCACAAACCCAAGGAGAGTGGCTCGAAGCCATTTGCGCCATGGAGCGGAAGACGTTGCCTGCACCTGAGGGTCGCCGCTCTGGGATCTCAGGCTGGGGTTTGCGGGGTGGGGCTTCTTGCGATTTTTGTTGTGTGAGATGCGACTTGAACAAAATCGATACGTGGGTTGGGTAGATCTGCAATGGCTATTATCATGGACTCATGGCGCTGCGGCATCCAAGGACTGCCGAATAACCGGTCTTTTCTAGATGTTGCTCAATGGTGCGGGAGGTCTGGCCCTAGGAGTTTCATTTGTCAGAAGGTCGAGCAAGAGGGTGCACAGCACGCGCCATCTAGATCCCTAGGTTGTCACCCAAGGAAAATGTGTCTTTGCCATTGTTGTAGGAGCATGGTACTAGTCACCTCAACATCTCATGACAATGTTCAAGAGGTCCTGCGGATCATCGATTTTCTGGAGCTGTACAGGTTTGGGGATAATCCCAGTCCCGTTCGACACATGGGAAAGGTAGCCCAACCGAACCAAGACTTTGCCGCTCTGCCAGGCCTTGTGGCCGGGGCAACTCAGACCGTGGATGCATTTGGGGGTTGATCTATATTCCGTTCCCCAAATGACCATGGGTATCTTTTCCAATTTAGTGGGGATGCATATTCCTTAGTGGTTTTCCCCATGGTCCCATGTAAAGGACCTTTTCATCAACCCCCATTTCTTTGTTGCGGGGTATGATTCAGACTCCATATTCTCTGCTCAGTGAGCCCGCCCTCGGTGGTTTGCTGACTCGGACTGGTCTTTTAGTTTAAAAAGACAAGTGATTTGACTGGAAGCCGGTGTTACACTCAACAAAAGCACCTGAGGCCCACCGGCACATATGGAATGTACTGAGGTGCACGCGGGCAAGTCCGAGGTCGAGTCTGTCGGATGCTGAGACTTGGAGGACCCCTGAGGTCTTTCGGTTCAAAGCGTAAGGCGTAAGGAAAGACAGGAGACCAAGAGATTGCCGAGGCCATCAACACGAGCCATTCCCAAAATCTCCACGTGGGCCGAGTCTATATACTGGTACAATTCTTTCGGAAACTGGACCCTGGCCCTAGCCCCATCCAGCGCTTCTCCATTTCGGTGGAACCCACACTCAAGATGGCGAATCCAGGCAGACCATTTGCGTCTCAAGATCCAAGCGCCTGGCAAACAGTCGGCGTCAACCACATCGAGGAACATGTTGCCGAGCGAGTTTGTTTTTGACCCGGTGGAATCAACGAAGGTCCAAGCCTCCGAGAGCCAGTCGCGGCGCACCTTTTGTGTGCGCTTCGACGAGACCGGGCTGGGGGGCTCAGTTGCAGGGCTGGGCAGTTGCAAGGTGTCGTTTGATTTGAAGGTGACACGTGCCGTCCATGGTGGCAGGGTGGACACACTGCAACGTGTTTACGCCAATTGCGGGGTGGAGGGACATTTGAGATTTCAGGGCGAGGGGTTCTGGCTCGTTGTCGCAGAGAAGTGCCGAGGAAGCGGCGGACTTTTGTGGGCGACTTTCAGGCCATGGGGTCGGCAAAACTGATGGTAGGTTTCCTCTGGATTTTCTAGTTTTCGCTTTGCATTTGCACGACACAATTCTAGCGCGGATGATTTGTTTTGCAGGCGGGGGGCCTCACTCCCCAAGCCACCGGAAGGCGCCGGGGGCTTAAACGTCAAGAGTCAGCGACCTGATTCACGCATTGGTGGGGGACTTCGGCATTGCCGGCAAAATCATTTTACTTTAATCTAGGGTTGAATGTACATCCAAAGAATTTCGCACAACTTGTTGTGAGAGCTTGCCCAAACAGAAAGCGGTGCATCACTTGTTTGGACCAAGCATGATTTGTGTAAAGTTTTCCCCCAACAGCTGAAAGCTATGGGGTCTCCGCCCAGATAGGCTCTGGCGTGATTTGGGATAAGAATCAGGGAGGGTTCCAAGCGGTTCCAGGGGGTTTGGGGTTTCTGGGCCTTGTTCTTTTCTCAACAGACTCGAGCATTTCTTACCGCTTTGCTATGTCTGAGGCGCAAGCCTCTCAGCAGGTGCCGCCGGACGCACAGTTCAGCCGTGCAGATCTAGTGATGAACATTGCATGAAGATGTTGATACTTTGACGACGGCTCGTTGTGTAAATGGGGTTGATGAACACGTTTTTATGGAATGACCATTGTTTTGATCAAACCTGCTTAAAACCATAGTTCAAGCCGCATGCTGTATAAGATTAGCTCTGATTCTCCGAGTTGCCCAGCTGACCCAAAGGCCAGCGTCCGACAAAGCACCAAGCAACTTCTCTACCCATAGCCTTATAGGTTTATTATAGGGATAGGCTTCTGATGGGAAATCGTATTTGCCTTGAATTGTTGAGGTTCGCTCAAAAGTAACAGTAGTCTATCGTCAATTTGGGAATGAGGAATTCAAGTTTGTGTTTCCTCACAAGGGACCCAATAAGTGTTCCATGTCTTCCGGAACGTAGTTTTGTCCAGCGCCACAGCTTGACAAGAACTCCTGCAGACCAATGTACTCTAATCAATCGCATTATTGCTCAGACTTGAAGGTGGGACAAACATTCCATGGAGCCGAGCCAGCTGGAAACAGTCTTGCAAGAACGTATTTTGCCCTGAAATGATATCAGGGGTGAAGGGCAGACCCTGCTTTGCAAAGTCAGAATAGCCTACGATCGAATGGCGGTGGTTTACTTTTTGGAATGTTTGATGGGTGCTTGCAAGGTCGGGTTTCTTCTTCCTGCAGCGGCCTCAGCATGGGGCACGGCATGCGCTAGTCATAGGAGGCGGACTGCGGTGGCAGGGATCACCAGAGACGTGTGGCTGTTCAAAGATCTCAGGCTCACAAAGCAAGCACGCAGCAGGCCCAGCTCGAGCTTCCGCCAAAAGCTGTCCAGGGGATATCCCCGAACCTCAACTCTATACAATTTTTCCTGGCTATGTTTTTCTGCAGAGCCGCGGGCGTTTTTATCCCAGGCCCACCCGCGCTGCAGGGGCGTCGAATCTGGATGAAGGTGGGTTTGCCAAGATGCTGTTGAACGTTGGGCACGCGTCTTGAAGGTAAAACTTCATGATTACGAGCAGTCATGATGCCCTTGTGCAACAACTGATGGACCCAATTGTCAGATGACAAGTCGATTGTTCCCCTTACAGTTTCGTGTTTCCATCGTTTTTCCTTATTGGAAGCGATGTTTCCAATAGGGGGATGCCTAAAAAGGGGATCCGGAGGCTCTTGGTCAGCGGCTCAGAAAGCCTATAACTGGAAAAGCCAAGCGTCTACCTGGATGTTTGCAGGCTGATGGCCCTGCCCCAAAGCCAGGTGAAGACAGCGACAGTGAAGAGTGCCTTCCTCATCGGTCGTTCGATGGTTGTGGCACACTTGATTCATTTTTAAGGGGAACATGGAGTTTGTTCGCGTTCTAGTGATGCCCGGGGGTGTCAGCGTGCCCGGTTTATTGTTCAACGTCCCAGAGTGTTGGTGTGCAAGTTCTACTGAGTTCAAGCTAATATCCGCAGCTCAACGTCTCAGTCTGCCCATTTTGGCCCGTTTACGATCAGAAAGCCTTCGCGTGCCCCAAAGGGTTGGCGTGCCTCTTCTGGTGAGTGCGCGACCATGCAACTTATTCCCCTGGAACAAATGTAGGGCACAGGATAAAAGGCGCGATGCGATGACCAATGCATGAACGGCACATGTGCCTCCTAAAGGGGTCCGACGTGTCCTTGCCATAGATTTCGTTTCGGAGGGTACCTACCTATATAATATGGGGTATGTATGGGGTATATCGGGGTATATATTATCGGGTATGTGTGAGGTACATATTATGGGGTCTATTTATGGGGTGTATAGTATGGCCTTCTCTGGCGCGTGGTTGAGCTTTCAGACAAACAGAGCCAGTGTGTTCAGCCAGAAGTCGCTACTTTTGGCCATTCCGCTGTCAGAGCTGCACCAACACAGTGGAACTGTTCGATTTTTTCGCTCTGAAGAAACAATAGGCGATAACTCTAAAACTGGAAGGGTTATTCATTCATTCATTCTCAAACAGGCCGAAAACGGCAGTGCGACCTTGCTTTTTCGTATGGCTCTTTTGGTCTCGGGTTCTGAGGTGGGATCCCACCGCTGATGTGGGAGAGGCTTTGAACGGTTTTTGAGTTCAGCTCTGTGCCATTGCCTTCAGACCGGACCTTTGCGATGGGTGCGGCAGGTGGAGGAGGATGTCCCTCTGGACACGGCTCGCCAGAGCCTCATTGCCACATTCCCAGCACGACAGGTCTTCCTTTGCGAATGCTTTGATCAATCTTGGAAACGTGGGAGAGGAGCTGATTCACGCCTGTGGGAGTTTAGGCATGTGTATTTGCGGTTGTAGACGGTTGCCTTGGAATTGTACTGCCGTGGCATCCAAAGGCTTGTCCTCTCTCTTGGCGTCCCTGAGGGTGCACCAGGCAGGCACGCGAGAATATTTCGAGATTCCCTCCCTCCCTCCTTTGTTTCCCCTCTTTTGTTTCCCCTCTTTTCTTCCCATTTCCTCTCTTTGAGGGCTTTCATCCCTTCAACTCTCATTCTCCATTCCCCCAAAAAAACAACAAAAACAAAAAACAGAGCCCATTTTCAGAACCCTCTCCGTGCACCTCGGCCAGCAAAGACTGTAGGACTCTTTGGTTTTCAACTTGGAGTTTGATTAAAAAGGTGGCTCTCTTCATGGCAGCACAAGCAGAGCCTGACGGGGCACTGCGGAGGGTGCTAGGATTTGAGTATGGCGCCTTGCTAGATGAAGAGCGGGCAGTTCCTCAAAGAGGAGCTGGACTTGCGCGCAGCCGAGCTCTTGTGCATGCAACATTCCGTAACATTCCAGAATACATCACGAGCATGAATCCATGTAATCAGGAAGAAACCGATGATTCAATGTTAAGTTGTTTCTGAATTGGCTGAACTTTGGGCTTTCCAAGGATTCGGGAACTGGTCCAGGCCTTACATATCCCCAGCACCCACTTTCTACGTGTCCACATGTGTTCTCTTTCAACGCGGTAAGATGCGTGGAGCATCGGAATTGGCTATTTTGAAAGCAATTGAAGCGGACTGGACCCAGCCTGCTGGGGGTGGATCAAGGGAAAAGGCTGATGTGTTTGAGGCGGAGACAGCTACAGAGATCCTGGCCCAAAGCCCGTCAGGACATTGGCAGAGGGGCAAAATCCCAAGCAAAAGTGCCGGGAGTTCAGGTGAAGCAGGGGAATCCGAAGACTTAGCTTGTCCTTCCGTGGCTGTTTGCATAAGGGTTGGAGTTGCAATCAGGGAATCTACTCGGAGATGGACTACTTTCAGAGATACTGTTGCCTTGCTTAGATCAGGTGCCTGACCCAACCTCTCCCGAACCATTCGCAAGTCGAGAGGAGAGGGTTGCTTGGATGCCACGAACCAAACGAGTCGAAAGGAGACGCCACACTGACCGCGGCGCCGAAGGCCCGGCTCAAATTGCCCCCCCCCGCCCTGGGTTTGCTCGCTCTCAGGTGGAGTTCGCGCCGGAGCCGCGGCAGTCGGAGTCCCTGGAGGCCATGGAGGCCATGGAGGCCATGCCTGAGGTGCGCGCTTCGGCTTCTGATCGCCGGGCGGCGCGCGGCGCGCGAGCGGCGAGCGGCGAGCGGCCTGTTGCTTCAGGCTCCAGTGAGCGCCCCTGTGAGCGCAGTGGCACAGGCTGGGGACTGGAGGCGTAGTTGGCCTCAGTGTTCCTTGCGACAGTCGCCCAGGCGAAGGAGCCAAAGGCTGAGCCCAAAGTCTGAGCCCAGGATTTGGGCTTCTCCGATTCATGGGCGAGTGAGTACTAGATCCGGTGATTTAAGCTCTTTTGGGTTCTTGAGAGTAGATCTATTCGGACTCCATCGTGACCTCACTTGGGCATGGGCCTGCTCTGCAACCCAGGCAAGGAAGAGTTTGGGAAAGGTTAAGGCGGGCACTTCGCGACGGGCCTTCGCTGCGACAGGAGAGGGCAACTCCCAAGGAACTCCACAGTGAGTGTGGATTCCCAACATGTTGCAAGCAAATCAATCAGAAACCATTTGGCCCAACTGCTGTCCAGCGGCTTGTGAAATGACCGGCTTTTGACGGCCATTGCCAGGATGGTAGATGATGTTTTGTTTTTCCGAGCGCCCCCGTTGTGCATGGCCCAGTCGCACCATTTTCTGTGTTGTTTTCTTTTTGGGGGGGGCCGGGTGTGGGAAGGGTTTCCCTGCACAATCCTGGGTGCTTTCAGAACTCCTGTTCGGACATTTTGTGCCCATGTCGTACCAAATTGCATCAATCAGTGCATTCTATAGCTTGCTGCCGTGTTTACGTGTACTTGAGGAAGAAAGAGAGAGCGAGTTGTTTTTCTTCTTTTTTTTTTCTGTACCTGTATCATCATTCATCATTTGATCCTACATTGGGATTCATTTGCTGGCAAGGAGAGAGTGTATTGTTGGATTTTCAATCTTGAGCTTTTTATCAGAGTTGCGCGTCATTGAGATCCAAATGCAGCGCCAAAAACCCTTATGCAAGGAGTTAATTGATGGCCGCTCCTAATGAAGCCTCGCGAAAGCTAAAACCGAAGGGCGCGAAAGCCCGCGAAAGCTTGCGGCGAAAGTGTTTGAAGAAGAGCCCGTCACGAAAGCGTGGCGAAAGTGCATGTTTGCAGTTTCTGTGTTGCCCGCGAAAGCTCCGCGAAAGTGATCATTACAAAACACATGCCTGAAAGTGAATCGTGTGGCCCCGAAGGCATCGCGAAAGGTTCCGCGAAAGTGCTTTGTTAGTACAGGGTTGTATGTACCCTATTTCCGGCACCGCTCAAATGCACAGCAGGAAAATTAGAATACACAAGATAAGTGCTAAGTTTTAATCATCAAGCATTAGAATGAACTGATCAGGAGCAGAACGCTACAATATTCCAGTTGTATTATTTATTTTGTCCTAGCCCTATTATCATGTCAAGGGTTTTACTGACTGGCGAGATTTCTATGAGAGAGAATTATAATGAAGGGAAATTGGTTCCTTGGCATCCTTCCTACCTTCCCCAAACCTATCGCGATTTTTTTGCATCACTGAAGGTCTTTCGATGGGTTTTGGCTGTGGAATTTGGCGGCTTTGGCCAAGGTTGAAGATCCAACTAGCTTAGATTGGAGTTCAGGGCCAGCGAGCAACGGGACATTGGCCACTAGCTTGAGATCTCCATTTGCGCCAGCCTCCGGCAGCGTTGCCAAGCCTGGAGAAGGCCGTGGGGAAGGGAATCACAGAGACGCAGCATGATGCTTGTTTTGCTGGAGATTGGGTGATCGTCGAAGAGTACCATTGGACCATTGTTTTTGTGCAGGCCCCGACGGCTTTCCGGCATTTTCTGGAAGCGAGATCTGTGCCAGAAATCGTTGAAGGCCAGGCATAGGAGACGGGGCAAAAAAGTGAAACAGGCAGATGCTTCTGGGCGTCCTATTGTTTTAGCTGAATGCTTTGCAGAAGCAATTTGCACAAGTTCTCGCTTTTATGTGAATTACTCATCTACCTGTTCAGAGGTGTGCAGTACCTGCTGGCGTGCGTGAGGCTTCACCAGGAGGCACCCGCAGCGAGGGGTTGCCTTGTTGGGGGCAGGCAGTGCTTGGAGCGAGGGAACGCCTAGGAGACCGGGAAGTCTCTTCCAGACGAGGCCCGGATGTGAGGATGTGTTGCAAGCCGCTCTGTAATGCACGTGATGCCATTCAGCGGGTGTTGGCTGTGATACAGGTCCCGCCATATGTCGCCATCAGAAGTTTGCTCGAGCCTTATTTGCATACAAATCTGGCGGACGATTCATTGGCAAGGCCTGGTCTGCCATGGAAGGCAACGCAGGCGGGAACCTACATTTGCACCATCAAATGGAATTCCTTGGTAACTGTCAAAACGCCTCGGCGGCAAGGGCAGAACTTGGAAATGCGTCAATCATCCATGCCTCACTTCTAGTTTCCGGACTTCAGACTTGGCAGGGCCATCTTAGTGGCAAACAAAAAGCTTTTCTGACCAATCCACTGAGGAACTGAGCAATGCAAAATATATCACAACATGAAGAGCATGTTTTGAATCTCATTGGACCTGCAGGTCTGGCAATTGCTCGACGCACAGCTGAAGAAGGATGACCACATCGTGGGATTCTTAATTGTCAACCGTTGACAACCAACATATGAGTTATGCTGTTCGAAGAAGGATTGAGTCGCAACTTCCCCGTTTGAACATCATGGAAAAACGTGTTGGAGTGTTTGAGACTCAAAGTCTTGCTCATCACCCAGCAAAAGTGTTTTGTTGTTCAGCCCCTGAACAGGGGCTCACTTGAGCCACAATCAAAACCCGGGTAGATGAAGGTCAGGAAGGGATAGTCCCAACCATCAAAAGGCCCGGCCGGCCTTCTTATTCTTTACAGGCCATTTCAATACCAGGTTGCATTATGACTTGCTTGGACAGACGCCAATCGGGTGTTTTGCAAGCCTCGGACTGGTCCAAGCGAGTCTCCTTGAGGCCAAGCCATTGCAAGGTGCCGGCCTCAGCTGGATTCGTGCAGCATAGCTCCGTCGACAGCTTCCGAACTTTCCGTTTGACTTAGTGACTTAGGCAAGTCCGTTGTGGTGGCGCGGTCCTCGAACTTGCGCTTCGGATCAGCGACGGCCTTGCTCGTTGGCAGGTTGGAGCTGGGCCAGCTTGGAAGCTCAGCTGTTCGGTGGTTTCTGCGAGGAGATGGCCGTCTCTTCTGGAGATTCTAACCAAGGCTTTTTGGGTCGAGCTACTCCTGAGTTTCGTGTTTGGTGACATCAGTTCCAGGTTCAGATGGTACAAGCAACGATAGTGTTTACAGAGGAGGTTTGCCTTGACATGTGAGCAACATAATTGTTGTGGTAATCCATGGTTGATTTTGGGGGGAGGGGACATGGGGGGCTTACCCAGTTTCGTTTGGTTCCTCGCAAAACCAGCACTGGTAAATAATATTGCTCGTTACTCATGTGATTGCCAGAGGTTGGGCTGCGCATCGCTCTGCAGCTGAAGTTGGTTGGTGCGCCGATGCCTGAATCTCTCCAACTGGTTTGCGACCTGCCATTCTCGGGCCTGGCGAGTTGAACAACAGAAAGGCACAGTTGGCTCCTCTCGACATATATATATATACACATATATATATATATACATGTTATACATAAAACATTTTTCCATAGGAAGCGATGTGTTTCGTTGCATTCGACCGCTTGTCAATATTTTCATTCGGGAGTAAGAGAGATCTTCCAAGGTCCGTCACCGTTCTGGAGAAGAGGGGGGAGCTCTGGCCTCAGAGACGTGCAAAAAGTATGGGATCTGATCCGATTGCTGAGGTTTGTTCGCATCAACCGCCTTCACCTCTGGGATTGGGTGAAGCAGGACAGTGCTAACATCTCGCCCTGGTTTCTAGGCCACATGTGGGGGAGCGACAGACTTTCTTCGGCTGACACTTGTTACGCAGATGCTGCAGGCGAAGCTGCAAGGGCCAAGTGGAATCTAGCTAGTTCGCCGGGAAAAAACAAGCACTACAACAGAACCAGCAAAACAAGCACATCGCAGCGGCAACGTGAGTCTTTTGATCGGAGCTGCTGATCATTATTGTGCATCCACAGTGGAATGGTGTCATATGGCTGTGGATCAAAACCCTGTGCCCCTGGTGAACATCAAAATAGGTGGCATGTGGATGTTCATCCACCCCAAAAATGGAGCCATAGCTGTTGCCCCATGGCCATATCTTACGACAGCAGCTTTGCCTAGGCATTGGGAGCCCATGAGCTGCCGGATCCTCCGCCGTTGCCTGCCATGCGCCCGCAACGCAGTGCCCAGAGCCATCGCGCGGGGGATCGCGGCGTCCCGGGAGCACCACTTGGTGCACCTCTGGGCGGACGGCAACTCGGACTTGGACTGTCTTGGGCCAGAGGCTTCAAAGCAACAAGACGGAACCCGAGCCCAAAGAGGAAAGCTGTTTTCTGATTCCCAAAGACGTCTTAAAGCAAGACGACGCTTGAGCTTAGGGCCATGCATACTCTACCTGGACATACCCCAATATTAGTGGTGCACAGGGTGTACACCAAACACCATCCCTACGCCCCAAAGGTGTATGTTCATTTGGGCGATGGCAGGCAAGCAGAACCAGTGGCAGGGCACCTCCAAGGAGCTGATGCTTCTCTTCGGGCTCAGCCCCCGAGACGTGCGCCTCTTCGGCACCAAGGGCGCCCACCTGTCCATCCGGGCGGAGTACTTCCTCTTCCGGCTGCCCCCCTTCACCGGCTGCGCCTCGAAATGGATGGCCAAAGAGACTCCGGCTCCCCGAGGCTTGGAAGTTACAACATAAATATGATGTGTATCTACATAAAAATATATAAAAAAATACCAGTGTTTTCAGACCAAACCTGGGTTGTTGTTTTTTTGTTTTGTTTTGGGGGTACCATATATATATATATATATGGTACCCCCCCCAGTACCCAGGTGTTGTTGCATCATGTATCAAAACCATTGATATTTACAGTGTATTTTGATTGAACTCATGCATTTTCTGCAAGGCCATTTTGTGGACCAAAAAAAGCAACACAAACCAAAAAGCAAAAACACCAAAACACCAAAAAACCAAAAAACCAAAAAACCAAAAAACCAAAAAACCAAACAAAAAAAAAAAACAATCCTAGCCCCCACAATGGCTGGTTTTTGTTTTTTGTTTTTTGGTTTTTTGGTCCAGGGAAATGTTGCGCAACAAATTTCAAATGTTGCGCAACATTTGCGGAGCATGATGAGAGGATATGCAAACGTTTGTGAAAGAAGGCATGTTCTGGGTGAGAGGATATGTGAATGTTCTGTAGAGAAGAGTTATTGAAAAAGACATGTTTTGTGTGAGATGATATGCGAGTCTTTGCGGAAGAGTCAGGGTTACAGTGATTCATAATAGTACAGCAAAAGACAGTAAATATCATGTAAAACCACCATTTATGTAACACAAACTGTCCCAGCCATAGCCTGGCTTTATTCTACACAGGGTTCACTTTCCTTGGCAACTCTTTCACATAGACATATGCTGACTTTGTTTCATTGAAAGAAGACATGTAAAAAGACATGTGTTGGGTGAGAGGATGTGTGAATTTTCTGTGGAAGAGTCTTTGAAACAAGGCATGGTTTGTGTGAGATGATATGTGAATATTCTGTGGAAGGGTCTTTGAAAGAAGGGGTTTGTGTGGGAAGATATGTGAATTTTCTGTGGAAGAGCCTTTGAACAATGGCATGGTTTGGTGAGAGGATATGTGAACCTTGGTGAAAGAAGACATGTTCTGGGTGAGAGGATATGTGAATTTTCTGTAAAAAAGAGTTATTGAAAAGATATGTTTTGTGTGAGAGATGATATGTGAGTCTTTGCGGAAGAGTCAGGGGTACAGTGTTTTAAAAAATGTACAGCAAAAGACAGTAAATATCATGTAAATCCACCATTGATGTAACACAAACTGTCCCAGCCATAGCCTGGTTTTATTCTACACAAGGGTCCCTTTCCTTGGCAACTCTTTCACATATGCTGACTTTGTTTCATTGAAAGAAGACATGTAAAAGACATGTGTTGGGTGAGAGGATGTGTGAATTTTCTGTGGAAGAGTCTTTGAAACAAGGCATGGTTTGTGTGGGAAGATATGTGAGTTATCTGTGGAAGAGCCTTTGAAAGAAGGCATGGTTTGTGTGGGAAGATATGTGAATTGAATTTTGTGTGGAAGAGCCATTGAAAAGAGGCATGGGTTTGGTGAGAGGATATGTGATTTCTTGTGAAAGAAGGCATGCAAAAAGACATGTTTTGTGTGAGAGGATGAAAGAATTGTCCGTAGAGAAGAGTTATTGAAAAGACATGCTTTGTGTGAGATTATATGTGAATATTCTGTGGAAGAGTCTTTGAAAGAAGGCAGTTTTCTGTGGAAGAGCCTTTGCAAAATGGCATGTTTTGGTGAGAGGATATGTGAACCTTTGTGAAAGAAGACATGTTCTGGGTGAGAGGATATGTGAGTTTTCTGTAGAAAAGAGTTATTGAAAATATATGTTTTGTGTGAGAGATGATATGTGAGTCTTTGCGGAAGAGTCAGGGGTACAGTGTTTTAAAAATGTACAGCAAAAGACAGTAAATATCATGTAAATCCACCATTGATGTAACACAAACTGTCCCAGCCATAGCCTGGTTTGATTCTACAGAAGGTTCCCTTTCCTTGGCAGCTCTTTCACATATGCTGACTTTGTTTCATTGAAAGAAGACATGTAAAAAGACATGTGTTGGGTGAGAGGATGTGTGAATTTTCTGTGGAAGAGTCTTTGAAACAAGGCATGGTTTGTGGGAAGATATGTGAGTTATGTGTGGAAGAGCCTTTGAAAAAGGCGTGCTTTGGTGAGAGGATATGTGAACCTTTGTGATCGAAGGCATGAAAAGACATGTTTTTGGTGAGAGGATGAATGAATTTTCTGTAGAGAAGAGTTATTGAAAAGACAGGCTTTGTGAGATGATATGTGAATATTCTGTGGAAGGGTGTTTGAAAGAAGGGGTTTGTGTGGGAAGATATGTGAATTTTCTGTGGAAGAGCCTTTGAAAAATGGCATGGTTTGGTGAGAGGATATGTGAACCTTTGTGAAAGAAGACATGTTCTGGGTGAGAGGATATGTGAATTTTCTGTAAAAAAGAGTTATTGAAAAGATATGGTTTGTGTGAGAGATGATATGTGAGTCTTTGCGGAAGAGTCAGGGGTACAGTGTTTTAAAAAATGTACAGCAAAAGACAGTAAATATCATGTAAATCCACCATTGATGTAGCACAAACTGTCCCAGCCATAGCCTGGTTTTATTCTACACAAGGGTCCCTTTCCTTGGCAACTCTTTCACATATGCTGACTTTGTTTCATTGAAAGAAGACATGTAAAAGACATGTGTTGGGTGAGAGGAGGTGTGAATTTTCTGTGGAAGAGTCTTTGAAACAAGGCATGTTTGTGTGGGAAGATATGTGAGTTATCTGTGGAAGAGCCTTTGAAAGAGGGCATGGTTTGTGTGGGAAGATATGTGAATTGAATTTTGTGTGGAAGAGCCATTGAAAAGAGGCATGGGTCTTGTCCAAGGCGTCTTTCTTGAATGAGGCAAACCTCCTTCCTCTGGTCTCCCAGTGTGCAATCTGAGCTGTTCTTCCTGCCTGCTTCCGCGGTCAAAGCACATCTGAACCACACACCAAGGACACCGTGATACTAGTGGTGCCACATAGCATTCACCTTGCCGCCCAGGTCCTAGGCAATGAGATCCAAGTCTTCTATTTCCAAGCCAATCCCTGGGGACGAGGACTGTACCTCGGCCCTCAGCCGGTGGAGGATGGTCGTCTTGCCTGCACCCTCCAGCCCGAGCATCAGCCAGCGCGCATCTCTGCGGTACTTCGAAAGTAGTGCGAGAAGATTGCACGAGGGGTAAAGATTCACCGCATCGTCGACGTCCGTTTGGGTGGGGGCGGGCGCATCTCCCTTCCACCCGACCACAAGGGCGGCAAGCGGGAAGCCGAAGCCGCGCCCACGTCGCCCCACCTTCTCAATCATGGGGCTCTCAGCATCCTCCTGGGGAATCTGCAGTGGCATCATTGCGTGGTGCAATGAAAAGCGAGTCCTTGAGGCTTGACACTATGAGCTTGAGCAAAATTCGGCTGGGCATCCTGCGTAAAATACCATCCATGTTCTTCAACATCCATCTCCAGCAAGAATTTGATAGTCAAGTCATTGGGAGCTGGACAAAACCACCATTAGTTGTTGTTGAGATCATTCAACTGGGTCTATCTGCTTCTGGCAGCATATAACAAAGGAGGCGTTGATCAGAAAATCCCGAGTGTTCTGTGCCAGCCTCTTGGCAGTGTGTGAGCTGTGTACATTTTTGTATGTATATATATATATATATATATATATATATATGCATATATATATATGCTACCCCCCCCCCCAGGTACGGTTTGGGCTATGTTCGTGGTAGACAGCAGTTGACCCGGATCGAATGGAATCTGCCCGTGAAGAGCTCCACAAGTTCATGCATGAGCGTGAGCTGGGCGACGCAAAGCTGCTGGTCTTGGCAAACAAGCAGAACTTGAAGGGTGCGTTGACCGAGGAACAGGCCACAGACAAGCTCGGGCTTCACGAATTGCAAGGTCATAAGTGGTTCGTTCAGAAAGTTTCTGCCATCTCAGGTGAGGGGCTCTAATTCCGAGGGCATCAAATGGTTGACCTCGAGGAAGAGCTAGGGCGCACCGTTTAGTATCATGGATGCGTCCCATCGGTTTTCTCGATCAAAGCGGCAAGCCATCAATCCGCGAAATGCAGATGCAGAATGCTGCAATTGCACCAGCGCTCGAGGCTCTTTTCAAGCCCAAACTCACGTGAACCATGTGCAACACGCGTGTTTCTGCAGACCCCACGGTGGCAATTAGTTCAACTGTCCTTCACATTTATATATATAGAGAGAGAGAGAGAAACAAGTTAGATTCTTAGATGGCCTCTTGAAGAAGTGGGATTGCCGGCTTTCTGTTTAGCAATCAAGAAAAATCCTCGGCGATTTCAATTTCTGACCAGACCCATGCGATCTGAGGTGTGTGGAGTGACTCCGTGATGATTTTGTCCGAGAGGAAGGGTCGGGCTGCTGAGCTGTTCAGCAGCTGCCTGCAGAAGGAGCTCAGCTTGGAGAGGCAGAGGGGGGCCAAGGGTCCTTTGCAGTTCGCTTGGTCTGCACTCTTTAACCGCCGTTGGCGTGTTCTGCCGGCGGCTTCCGGCTGTCAAATTTTTCTAACCTGGGAGCATCAGTTGCACAGTCGCGCAGGCTCATCTTTAGAGCCATCCTTAGAAGTTCCTTAGACAGATGACCGTAACAAAGTGCAGCCCCACGCTCGAACCCCCTCCCCCCCCCCCCCGCGCCCCGCTGAAGCGTAGACAAGCGAAGCGCAAGCGCAGCATAAGCAAACACGCGCGATCTCACTTACTTACGTGCGCTTGTGCTTAAGCTTAAGACAATCGAAGCGCAAGCGCAGCAAGCCCGCGTGATCTCCCTTACTTGCTTGCGCTTGTGCTTGTGTGTTGGGTGTTGGAGCGGGGGGGAGGGGGGGGGGAGGGGGGGGGGGTGACTTCAGTTTAGACGAGGCAAAAATCCGCGCCAAAGAAGAATCTACAACACAGCGCTAAAACACAAACAAGACTACACATACAAGAACATCCACAAGACACGCCGGCAGTGCCGGCGGATTTTGGTTGGAGCAGAGGGCATTGTCAAGCTACTGTCCGTTCCGGACGGGTCCTGCGTGTTATTGCCCAGCCCGGCTTCTCATGGTCTCCAATGTCAGCAAGACAGAAAGCTTCCTGTCGGGTCAGTTTTGCTCGTTGGATCCTCACCCTGAGCTGTGTACAAGAGGCATCTGCTCTGAGACATTTGGGGCATCTCCCAAACAGGCAAACAGGAGGAGGCGCCCATTTTGTTTTTCAGGATGGGTTGTTTGAAAAGGAAATCAGACTGGGCTGACAAGGCCAACAAACACGCCTTTTTGTTAGGTAAGGGCCCGTCCTCTAGAAGACTGCGCGCCAATAGGACAACAATGCACCCGTACAGGCGTTGGATCCAATGTGCAGATTGACAAATGATTGAATAAATAGACATAGATAAATGCAAAAAGGCTGTCAGGCAAATTCCAGTTTCGAAAGCCAAAGCATAGTCCTTCTACCTTTGGTATCGGTTGTTATTCCTCCTCCTCACTTTGCAGTGTTTCATCGCTTCTCCAGCTGGACCTGGTGGAGCTTTACGGAACTGGTTGGATTCAGCATGACAGTTCTTGGGCTATCGGTTTGGCTATTTGTTCGGGCCCACTTTAGGAATTAGCCTTGAAAATAATATTTCTGGTAGCCAATCTACCTACCATTGTAGTCAATTATCACGATGACATTTATGGCCCAGAGGTACAACAAGTTGCATGATGTACAAACATGACAAGGACCCAGATGACATGTCCGCATGTCATTTGGCTCAAGTGCTGAAAAGAGCGCGTTGCTCGCGCTACCCACAAGGTTAAGGGAGAGGTCGCAGTCACGGAGGGGTTCGTTCCTTTTAAGGTCCCGGGTTCCCCCGTTGTTGACAAAACTGTGTTTCCCTCTCCTTTGAGTGGTTATCAGCCGTAACGCTTTTCGGGTAAACAAACCCCTCCGTGACTGCGACCGTTTGGTCGCACATGGAAGCCGGCCCTCACCGCGGCACTCGCGGTGGGAAAGGGCCGCGTGCCCGTCTATTCAACACTCTGCAACAGATCGTCGTTGACGAGTACAAACGGCAGAACAGACGATTCCGGTGGGTCAGGTTGGCAGACGCCTCGAAGCAACAGATCGAGGCGCTCTTTTCCTGGCGTGAGTCATTGGATAGTTGGCACCTGTGGGATTTTGACCAAGAGGCCTTCGAAGTGATCCAGGCCGCGGACAACGCTTATCAGCAGCGTCTCGCATCGGTTGAAACCGCAGGTGTGGTCTTGCCGCAAGGTGTGCAATCTCAGGATAAAGCCGCAGCCTCTGGCGCGGCGGAAGCAGCGAGCAGTGCAGCGGACTGGCTACGCCCTCCGACGCCTCCTTCAGCTTCATCCTGGCTACAAGATTCGCGCACTCCATTGCCTCGCATCCGACCATCAGCAGAGGAAAGACAAGTGTTGCGGGGCGCCGCCAAGACAGCGCTTCGCGGGGTGTACGCTAGAGCTGCGGAAACGCGGCGGGAGAGCAGCAGGGAACGGTCGCCACAAAGATCGAGGTCCCCATCGCCCCGAAGGTCGAGGTCTCCATCGCCTCCGAGACGAGGACCGACTGCTGCTACCCCTGTGGAACATCGGGCACACAGTGTTGAACCCGCGCTTGCGCGGGAGGGCAGGCCATCCAGGACTTCCCTTGCCACACGGCCCATTGTATTGGCTCCACAGAACAGTATATACCCTGTGACACGATTTGACGAGCGCGGCACTTGGGTACTCGTTCGGGAGGCTTCACAGCCACGTGAGGCGACATCTCACCGCCGAGCACAGCGGACATCCGGACATCTCCGTCAGGTTCGCTTGCGGACGAGACGTGGAGAGATCCCCCAAGAAGATCATCCACAAGCTCGCGATCACGATCTCCAGATCGACGCCCAGGGCCAGCGGAGCACTATCGCCTCGACGCCTACAGCTCGGAAGAGGAACCTCCGCAGGACGCGGAATCCATCAGAACTGGCAGGTCAGCTTACGTGCCTCGGCGCGTATACGAGGCACCGACTCACACTGAGCCTATTGCTTTGCATAGCCGGAGGATTGGAGCAATTCAGCCGCCGCCACCAAAGGCCGCACCAAAGGTCATTTTTGGCAGCAAGCCTCCATTGCCCAAGGAACTTCCTCGTGCAGCTTCTTCGGCACCGGCAAAAGCAGATATTTCGAGGAAATCCCCGCCGCGAGCAAGGTCTCCTATTCGAACTCAGAGTGCGTTCGGGTACAAGGCGCCTCCGCGAGGTTTGAACAAAGCCGAACCCAGAAGCAAATCGGGCTCAAACCCGCCACAAGGGTACATCGTCAAGCCGCCACCGCCGCAGGTCGTTAAAGCAGCTGCTGCTAGCGCTGCAACTTCCGAGGCTGGCACACGCTTTCGATCGCCGCCAAGAAGGCCACCACCTGCGCCACCCCCGCCGCCTGGAAGGCCTGTGCCGCCCAAGGAGCTTACCATCGCTCTTGACTGGCACGGAGTTCTTGACGTTGGGCAGCAGGGACCCCACCCCAACCCGGAGGTGATCCGGCATCTCGTTCAATTTGCAGCCGACTACGCACCTATAAATTTTTTAGTGCTATCCTTCGTGGGCAGGGCTGCAAGCGAGTATCGCCGCCGCGAGTTCCAGGTCGCCCTGGAGCACGCGCGGACGACATCTGGACTCACTTTCTCTGCGATAAAAATCGTACACGAAAGGTTGGGTAGGGGAGGCAAAGCAGACGCCCTTCAGGGGCTGGGTGCCCACGCCCTCATCGACGATACAGCTGCGATTGTCCGTGAAGCTCAAAAGACAGGCATCGCAGCGTTCCGCAACTTCCCGCATTTCGGGCCGAGCGGATTTGCCAACGCACTTGAGAACCTTGGGGAGTACATCGAGTCCCGGAATCGACTTTTCATTCCGGCGGCAAGGGGCCTGCATCCATCGCAGTACCTCGAAGAACTCCATCGGTCTGCATCCCAGTTGCCCGCCAATCGGGTACTTCGATAGCCTTTCTTTGCAAGCCGTTAAAACCGTCGCTTTGCGCGGTACAGCATCTTTGCAGCTACAGGCATTCGATTTGCAGACAAATTCTCAATACAGCTTGGCAACATCCCTCGATAAAGCACCATAGTGCGGCAGTGCGGATCAATCAATCTACAAGTACAATTACAAATACAGAATTCATCAGGTGCAAAGCAGCAGGGCGTATTTTCTTGAGTGGCTCACTTGAGCGTTTCGCAACCAGCTGCCAATCCAGGGATATCTCCTCGTAGCACCTTTTGACACGCTGCTCAAAGCGCGTGGAGCTAGCTTCGTGTGAGTGCAAAATTGCATTGCTGTGTCATGGCTTCAACGGGCTTATCACCGCCATCAGAACCCCGTTCAAGGTCAACCCCAAATAGGGATTCTGAACCGGATGACCCTGACCTAGCCATGGTTCCTGCAGCTATGTCCACAGTTCGCACATCCACACCTCAACGAGCAGCCCAAACACGACCATCATCACCCCCGAGTGGTCCGATCGTGTCAGAACCGACATCATCCGAAGCTTCCCCAGCCATTCAGTTTCCTTCACAGGGATCGCAATTACCTGACCCGATGACTAACGTACCCGCTGCGGCATTTATAGCTGGAGCTGCGGTGCAGCAAGCTCATCGAGCATCCGACCTCGCTGCTCAGGCAGCCAATCACGCCTTGCACCAACAGCAGGCCGCCGACCAGGCGAGACAAGAGGCCGGATGGATCAGGGAAAGGGCTGTAAGAGAAGTTCAGATGTTAGGGTTCAGGCCGCTCAGCTAGCTTCGCAAGCACAGCAGGCTGTACAAACAGCACAACAGAGTGAGGCTCAGGCTAGGCAACTAATCGAGCAGACACGACAGGAAGCCATAGGCCATGTCGAGAACGCACGACAGGTTGTTAATGCCACTCAACAGGACGCTCAGCAAGAGGTTCAACGCATTGTTCAAGAGGCTCAACAGGCAATCTCACAAAGAGAACAAACCATTGCCAGTCAAGAGCATACCATTCGTGGATTGTCCCAGGAAAATTCTGTGATGCATCAACGACTTGGTGATCTCGAACGTGTTGTTGCGCACCTCACCCAACAAGCTCGTGCGACCCCTGTTCCGATTCAAGAGTCCCCGCCAAAAGCCGCATCAATAGCCGAAACAGCTACGGAATCAAGCGCGGCTAAAGCCTCAAGTCAGGGCACAGTTCCCCCAGGAACCCATCAGCCGGTTGGAGCACCTCAGGTTTCAGATTCACAAGATGCCTCCGGTGTTGCCGCATCGTCGCAAGGGAATGCTTTTACAAGTACTATCCCCGACCCTCCGTGTGGTTCTGTTCAAAGTTCAGGACTTGGTCACGATGCCCCAGCTGATTCAAGGGACCCTGGTGGGGGTGCAACAAGTCAACATCTCGTAGGCCATTCGGCAGTGCTAGGAGCAGCGTCCT